CTAGCCCTGGGAGAGATCTTTAGAGGCCCAGAGGGCCTAAGTCTGAGCACCGTGGAGCCACGGGTCCCTGCAGATTAGCTCTGACACACAGTGGGGGCCGCTGCCAGCCTCAGACCTGCCCAGCCAAGGTGGGAATGGGGTGCAGAGGCCTGAATTCCCTGGGCAGCTACTGCATGGGAAAGCCAGTACAGACTGCCGCGTGCCCTGCCCTTCCCTCAGAGCCCCTTCTTGGAGCCAGGGATCAGGAAAGGAGCTCAGTTTCACCTCCCGCTTCTCAATACTCTTAGAAGCTCCTAAAAATTCTTTTAAAGGAAAGGCTGAAAGACTGCAGGTCTCCCCCTACAACCTGCCCCCCCCAAGCCCACATAGACGCTTTAACCCAATATATGCCCCAAACAGAGAGGAGCTGCTGCATCGTATGTTAGTCTTGTTCTCTGTCTTTATTTGATATGACAAAATATAGTTTCAGGAAAGACCTGGAGGTAATAAATAGTTGGATAACAGCGATGGGGCAGGAGGGCACAGAAAGTCGTGGCAGGAACTATTGGGCAGCTGGGAGCCTCTAGTACTATTTGCTGGGGTCCAGTGGCAGGGAACCCTAATAGATGAGCTAGTTAGTGTTCTGAGGCCGGGGGCCTGAGCAGGCATGCAGAGGGTGCAGGCTGGAGAGGTTCGCGGGCTTTGGGGTGGAGGGGGAAGGCTTGGAAAGCTAGGGCAACCGAGGGGGCCCTAGGCCGACGTTCGGTCATCCCCCCTTTCATATGCAAATCATTAAAAATGAACATCGAGTTTAGTCACTACAACGAAGCACCCCGAGTCTGGCCGGGACTCCGCCAAGCACCCACTTTCTCTCTCTCTGCCAGCCCGCAGCCGCCTGGCCGGCCTCAGCCCGGGAACAAAGGAGAGGGCGAGGCCGGAGGGTCGGGGCGCGGGGCCTGCGGCACCCGCAGGGCCCACCTTCATTCTGGCTGCCACGCTGGGGCTGGGAGCCTGAGAGGCAGCCCACGCCAGGTTCGTTCAGCACCAGCCCGTAGGCCACAGCCCTCTGGGGAGCCCCTGCGGAGCCTGCCCTGGGCCCCGGGTGCTGAGCAGAACTGAGGGGCGTCGGGGCAGCGCGCGCAGCCCTGCGGGAACCTGGGGGTGACGGGGTCGGGGAGATGCGGAATGTCAAGGGAAAGCGCTTTTGTCTGTGCGGCCCGGGAGCCTGTGCTCCAGCCCCGCCCTTGCCCCAAAATACAGAGAGAGGAAAACGGAAAAGGAAAGGCGCAGGACCAGAGCGGGCTCGGGTGCTCTCTGCGGGCCTCTCGCTGCCTCTAAAGAGCCTCTTTGCTTTTCATTTTGGAATCTTTCTTCCACTTCATCCTGCGGTTCTGGAACCAGATCTTGATCTGTCTCTCGTTGAGACACAAGTTGTTGGCAATCTCTATGCGCCTGCGGCGAGTGAGGTAGCGGTTAAAGTGGAATTCTTTTTCCAGTTCCAGAGTCTGGTAGCGCGTGTAACTGGTTCGGGACCGCTTGCCGTCCGTCTCTGGAATATAAGCCCCCCCAAGCCAGGAAGGGGTGAATAGCGTGCAGCGCCCCAGCGTCCACACCCCAGCCCCAGGCCCCCACCCGCAGCCGGACGGAGAGGAGGCGAGCAGGGCAGGACGGGCCCGGCGGGCCGCAGGCGGGCCCGGCCCAGCCCAGCCGCGGGAGAGGCGCCTCCGCCCAGGCAGGAAACTTTCCGGAGCAGCCTTCACTCAGCAGCCGGAGGGGCTGAGGAGGGGGGGAGAGGGAGACCCAGGCTCGGACCGAACAATAAGCACCCTCGAGATCCGAGCACCGGGGACCCCCCTCCCGCCCCTCCCGCGTCGCTGGAATCCTCCGGAGCAGCGAGCGCCGGCCGAGCCGGCTCCACAGGGGAGGGAGGGAGGGAGCCGCGGGGGGATCCCCGCTCTGGAGCCCCGCGCTCCTCACCCTTCAGATCCCTCTATTTTTTTAACTCCCTCCCTCTCCCCCAAAAATTGAATATTGCCTTTTATACACGTTTTGTTCCTATGATCCAATTATGTCGTCGTAAATTTGGGCGCACACAGCCTCTAAGCCTTTTAGTGGACAGTTTTACGAGCCATTGATGCCTGGATCGTAAAATTTATGGCCGCAGGTTTTTTTTCTTTATTTGCCCCGCATGGCCTATAAAACCCAGGCGGACCCGAGCGCGCAAAATGAAGTCCTAAAGTTTACCGTGGCTCATGTGCAGTTTGGTCATCCACGGGTAAATCTGTGGCGGAGCCGGTGGCTGGCTCAGTCCGGCGGGCTGCCCTGTCTGCGCCTGCTCCTCTTTGATCTCCCCACTGCTCTTAGCTCGCTCCTCCAGCGCTGGGCGAGCCGCCTTCTGACTGTACATCCCGGGGTTCAGAGGAGCCGCTTCATCTCTGCCCAGAGCGTGTCCCGGAGCGGCTGCGGCGCTGCAGGCGGGGCGGTCGGGGTGAGCCCGGGGGTTGGCAGCCATGTCTACCCCGTGGAGAGAGTTGGAAGGCGCAGGCGGTGGGAAAGTGATGCTTAAGTCCAATCCACCGTAGCAGTACCTGGATGCCTGCACCTCTGAGGCCGATCCATAGTTCCCACAAGTTTGCATGTTATAGGCAGGGATATTGGGGCTCTGCTTATAGAATGAATTGGCTACGTAGGAGCTCATGGCGGGGAGGGCCCAAAAAAAATTTCTGCACCCTTTTTGATTAAGGGTGATTTGTGACTCTTTGAAGTTGAGGGGTTTTTTGTTCTCCAAAGTGCACAATTTATAGGTGGAGATATCTCTTTCTTTATCCTATGCGCTCTTCCCAAATAAGGGAGCCTTAAATAGAGTCACGTGACTCCAGCGGCCACTCATAAATTTGGCTTGATGACCTCCGGGAGGTTAGTGATGGAAGCCGGCGAAACGCATCTTGATATGTTGGCAAAGCCCAACCAAGGGGGAGAGGGAGCGAGAGAGAGAAAGAGAGAGAAGGGGGAGAAAAAAAAAAAAGGTTCTTGGAATTGGGGGGTAGCCGGGACAACGAGCCCACAGCGACACCTGGTGTCTACTTTTAGGAATTGCAGCCTGGCGCGCCGGTTTGCCTTTAGGCTGCTGGATTTTCCACCGCGTAGAGGAGAAGCTGGTTGTTGCTGCAACAAACTCCCGAAATGGCCTTTGAAATTGTGTTTAACTTTAAGGAAAGAGGAGGCCTCATTTAAGATGCACAGAGTGGGTTTTTTTGTAACGGCTAGTCCTGTCTTCCTCACCCCAAGGGCTTTCCAATCTTCGAAAACGGTGGAAGGCAGGGGGGGCCCCTGCCCAGGTTGGAGATCTCAGGGGGCTTATCTCAGGTTCTCTAAACTAAGGTACGACGTCCCTCTCCTCGGAGGCCCCAAGGGCCTGCTACTGCTGAGGAGGTGCCTGTCAGCATGGCAAAGTGAACCCAACCTCTGGAGAGGTAGACAGGATGCCCAGAAGGATGGGTCCTGGGTGGACAGAACTAGTTGGGGGGGGGGGGTGTCATGAGGTTTGGAGTGCTGGGAACTCTGGGATGAGCCTGGAGGGGAGGAGCCAGGTGGAGTTAAGTAGACCACCTCACCATGCCACGGACCCCGGAATGGCCACAAGGCAATTTTGTGTGTGTGCCTGCGAGTGTGTGAGAAGAACCAGACACAATGGGCTGGAGGACTGCTCTGCATCCTGTGCATGGCCCTCATGTGGTACCTATGTCAGATATTTTGGGTAGAAAATACATGTCAATTGACGGCACAGAGAAGCAAGATTCAAGCCTCTACAAATATTATATGAGCAGGGCAGAGAAAAAGGCCTGTTTTGTGCCCTTTGGGGAAAAAGCTTCTCTGGATCGGGCTTTCCAGGGACCTGGATCCAGAAAGTCCACAGGAGAGCAATTTTTGAGCTATGTGGAGGCGCGGAAAGGACCTGGCTGGGAGTTGGGGAATGGAGGAGGTGGGCCGGGCAGGCGCCGGGGCAACCTTCACAGCCTGTGGCCAGGGGCTCCGCAGCCATTAGGCCCTTTCCCACCCCCCTCCCCTAGCCCCAAGTCTTATTCTTTCCTGCCTGCCTCTCCCCAGGAAATCTCCGCCCCTGCCAGGAGAGGCCCCCCTCCTGCACCCCCACCCCCCGCAGGCGGAGGCGCTGGAGGGGGCGCTGGCGGGGATCTGGAAGGTCTGGAAAACTCTGGCGGATTTTTTCCCTCCGGGAGACCCCCTCACTACCTCACTCCTAGGTCCACTCAGGTTTCCCTGGCTGGGCTTAGGAGAGAAGGCCTGAGCTGGGGAAGGCTTAGGGTCTGGCTGTGCTCCTCACCCGCCGAGTTTGAGGGGAGAAGAAAGAGTCAGGAACCAGACAGGGGCTGGGGCTGAGAGGAAGAAGGAATGTTGTCCCAGCCACGTCAGGAGTCCCAGAGCAGGCGAGAGCTCAGTTTCCAGGCTTGCTTCCCGCGATGTCCTTGAATCGCTCGGGCCCTCCCGAAGGGCTCCGGCCGCCGGGCTGCTCTCCCCTCGGCGCGCCGCCTCCGCCACGTTTCGCAAGAGTCGGCCTGGCGCGGCCTGGGCGGCTCACGCGGGGCCCCCTCCTCACTCCGGGCGGGCGCGGGGGCGACCCTGGGGCCTGGCTGGTGCTGCCGTCCTGGCCTTTGGGGGCTGGGGTTCAGAAGCCGAGGCCCCCAGACTGCCACAGGCAGGAAGAAAGGCCTGTGTGGGGTGGAGACCGACCCGCTCACCCGGGCTCCTCTCCCCACCCCCACCGAAATCCTTGGCGGCCTTTTTTGCGGGGTGAGTGTGTTGCTCCGCGTAGGGAGCCCCGAGAGGCCTCCCAGCCCCCAGCGCGCGCCCCGCAGGATGGGGAGGCCGGCTCGGCCGGCTCCCGGGAAGGGGCAGGCGAGCGGGGGCCGGGGGCTGGCAGGCGGCGGGCGGCGCGGAGCGCGGAGCCGGCTCCAGCTGCCAGCCCAGGCCGGCGGGCGAGCGAATTGACAGAAACCCCAAGATAAACTTTTAAAAATAATATCAGTTTTATTAAATATTCGAGAACGGATCCAGAGGTCGGATTTATACAGGAGGGTAACACGAGGGGATTTTTTTAATTTATTTTTTTTCTCCTACTGGCTAAACAAACGTCATTCACTTTTTTTCTCTCTTTTTGTAATTTTCCCTCTTTTTTTTTTCCTTTTTAAGATGGGATTGGAACACGGACGCTGCTAAACATAAATATAAATACAGAGACCACAAATACAGCTAAAAATATTCACACAGAAACGGTCACAGTTTGTAATATGCCATAATGACCCCCAGGATTCTTTAAATACAATTCGCCTGGGCTGGGCATTTGCTGGGGCAGAGGGGCCGGGCAGGGGCTGCGGGGAGGCCCTGGGGGTTGCTGCGGGGCCACGACGCGCCCTCCTTGGGCCTCCCGCCCTCCCCGCTGCCAGGTCGGGCCCTGAGGCCCCGGAGCCAAGGCCCGGGCCCGAGCCGGCTCTCTGCGCGGGGGCGGGGTGGGGGCGCCGAGAGGGTGGGGGGCCAAGTCCTCATTTGGAGGGAGATCCCTGGAGTCTGAAGCGAGGTTCAGGGACGGAGCCCCCAAGGCCTGGGCGGGGGAAGGGGCCTGTAGACGAGCCGAGAAGGAGCTAGCAGGGAGCAGGGAGGAGAAGACGCGTGGTGAGAGAGTTTGTGCGGTCAGGGAGAGGGTCCAGAGTTGACTTGCAGGTCCATATCTGACTCCTAATTTTGTTTTAGGGAGTCAAAACACATCAATTGTGCCAGTGATAAATACAGAGTGTGTGATTAGGAGGGAGTTGCGGGGAGCGAGGGAGAAGGAGAGAGAGGGGTGGCAGGGACAGTCCTGGTCACTCTTTCTGCTTCTCCTCTTCTGTCTCTTCCCGCTTTTCCTCTTTTCCGCCCAGGCTGTCGGCCGCGGCCCCTCCGCCGCCCCCCGAGAGCGTGGACGTGAGATTAGATTCTTTTTTCCACTTCATCCGGCGATTCTGGAACCAGATTTTGATCTGTCGCTCGGTCAGGCAGAGCGCATTGGCGATCTCGATGCGCCGGCGCCGCGTTAGGTAGCGGTTGAAGTGAAATTCCTTCTCCAGTTCCAGGGTCTGGTACCGCGAGTAGATCTGGCGGCCGCGCCTCCGGTCCGCTCCGTAGCCGACCCCTAGAGATCCGGGCACAAAACACACTAAAAACAATCAGCAAGGCATCCTCCACAGACATTTAGCCTAGCAAAGTCCTGACCCTCCCAACTTGGCCAAGCAGCTCACGGCCCCCTCGGGCTCCAGCCTTCTCCCCTTTGCCCTGCCCCACCCCCACTGGGGGTACAGCCAGGATCCCAACTTCCTTCAGTCTCCTCCATAGGTTGGTAGGTATGTGTCACAAAGAAAAGGGGATAGGGGGCGAGAACCAAGCAGAAAGCTGTAAGTCTAAAAGCTGGTTTTTGAAAAATGCCAAACACTGGGGATGAGGGCCCCATTTCTCAACGACTGGGCTCCCCCACCTCCCCAAGCATCCTAGCTCCTTGGAAACTTCTCCCCACTTCTCTGCCCCCTCCTCTCCCCCTCCCTTCTCCTCAGACTGACTCCTCGACTTTGGGGGGCTCCTCCACCCCATACCCCTCCCCTCCTCCCCTGCCCTGTTCCTGCCCCCTCAGCTCGCCTTGGAGCCTAGGAGCCCTCCAATCCGTCAGGGGCCGAGGGGGCCAGGCCCCTGTGAGCAAGCGGGAGGCGAGCAGAGGGGGCAGAAGAGGGGGCCCTGTCTCGGCGTCGGCGAGGAGACGAGCGTGATTGTTTTTATGGGGCCATAAAAAACTCTCTCCGCCCGTTCTTCTAGGGAAGCCGGTCATAAAGCCAGTTCAGTTTATTTAATTTATATCTCGGAGCTGTAAAACTCACCACTGTGCGAATTCATTCGCTGCATCCAGGGGTAAATCTGGATACTGGCTTTCTGGTCCTGGGGCGCAGTCCTGCCCTGCTCAGAACTAAAATCCTGAGCGATTGAGGTCTGTGTGTTATGTCCTAAGGTGTTTTGTCTGCAGTTTGAGAGCATGTCTTTCTCCTGGTAAAAGGAATTAGATCCATAGTCATACGGCCCCCGGCTGGAACTGAACACGACATTCTCCTGTGGCGAATAAAAGGGAGTCGAGTAGATCCGGTTCTGGGCAACGGCCGCTCCATAGGTCGAGAAATGCCTCACTGGATCGTAGGCGGTGGAATTGAGGGCGACGTTGGGGAGGACGTCCTGGCCCCCGGCGAGGTGGCAGGATAAGGAAGGGTTAGTGAAGTAGGAATTCATCCCTTTGCCTTTACCTGGTCGGGCTATGATTTCTTTAATATTTATTTCTGTCTCCAGTTTGTACTCGGAACTAGATGGTTATAGGGACGGCTCCAATCCAGGACAGACAAAATGACAAAGTCAGCTGACCCCCTTCCAGCCAATCGCAAGCCAGATGTCAAGAAGGGGGAAAAAAATCGCTTCTGCTTCTGTTGATTCCCTAGTTGAGACTAAGTGTGTGCTTTGAAAGTAAGACTTGGATTTTTAAAATATATATACATATATATATATACATATATATATGTGTGTATATACATATGAGGAGGGGCCGACTGATTTGGAGGTGGAGAAAGGGTGAATGTCCACAAGCAAGGCCTTGCACTCCAGGCAGAGTTGCACTCCCAGAAAATCTCTCAGCCCCAGCTAACTTTGCTGTGCTGTGGTCAGTGCCAGGGCTGGAGAAATCCGTGTACTTTCAATCTGATTTCGTCTTTTATATCTGCCCCCTTCTAAAATTACGTCCTGATTTCTCCATGGGAGGAGTTCCCTCCCAGCTCAAGGGGAGCCCCAGAAATCCTACAGGAAATCCTGGTTTGACACTCCATGGAGTGAGTTCTCATCACTAAACCAGCATATTTTATCCCCAGTAATTTTAAAAAAATCAAAAGTAGAAATAAATTGCATAAAACACGGTGCTCAGAGGAAGGGGAGTGAGGTTGAGAGTCTGGGGTGTAGGAGGCATGTGGGGAGCCACTACGTCTAAAGGGCTAAGGGTGAGACTTAAGGGTCCAGTGGCAGAGCAGAAGGGGGCAAAGGGCCAGGCGTCTGCTTCCCTCTTCCTCCCAGCCCCCCTCTGCCTCCTCCTCAGGACCCCCTTTTTGGGGAAACTCTTGCAGCATTTTTGCCTAAAAGGGAAAATGTATGAAAATACAATAGAAAAGAGCAAGAAAGAAGTAAAAGGTGGGAGGGGAGGGGAAAGGAAGGAAGAAAGGAAGAAGAAAGAACTCTGAGAGTCTTTCTAGACACATCAACTCCTGTTTATGTTGGTGAGAATTTATGATTTGGAGCCAGCGAGGGCCGGTGGGGCAATTCACATAGGATCCAGCCAGAAAGAGAAGGCTGGTGGGGCTCTGATGGACAGTTAGTGTCCCGCAGGCTCAAGCCCCTGCCCAGGTCACAAGCCCCCTGCCCCCTCCAGACTCTCTGCCCTGCCAAGGGAGGCGCCCCTGGACCTGAGCTCTGGGGCTTGGAGATTCCAGCAAAGGGCTTCTGGAGAGCTCTAGCCCAGGGGCCAGCCACACCTGGTGGGGCCAGGCCTCTCAGCAGCCTCTACCTCCATTTTCTTTCCACCTTGGGGCTAAGGAAAAGGAAGAGAAGGTTAGGAAAAGGCAGCTGAGTCGGAGGCTCCTAAGCGAGCCGCAGTGGGCGAACGGAAACAGCGGAAGGTGTGCAGACGGGGTTTTTCTCCTGATTAATCCAAACTTAATTTGATATCGTGACATAGGGTGAAAACACTTTGAGTTGACAAAGAGGGGGCGGTGGGGCAAGCAGAGGGAGCAGGGGAGGCTCCTATTTTCCCTTCACCATTTTTTGGGGGGGGGGGGGGGAGACGGCTATAACAAGAACCCGGATGTCGCCGGATTTTATGATCTTTTCCTTCTGTGTAACAAAGCGGAGTAATCAATGGGTAGCAATAAAGCCATAAACGGGACTACGCTGGGAAAAAACTCGTTTATTCATCTTCTGTAGCGTTAAGGTTTCCCTGGAGTGTCGCTAGGGGGGAAAAATAAAGTTTCGAACCCAAAAGCAGACAGTGTGTAGGAGCTGGTAGAGACGTATTAGTTAATACATGAACCTCGTTACGGGATTGAAGAGTCTTCCTGCCAGACAACGTGTGTGTTGGGTTTTAAAAATACAGCCTCAATCCTTCAAAAAGGAGGGAAGTTTGTTGGTATTTAGAAGGGTAGGAGAAAGCCCCCTATAATTATAAAGATTCCTCCTCTTGGACCATACTTTCTTCTCCCCAAGGAGTTGAAGGAGAAGAATAGAGGGTTCTTAAGAAAAAAAAAATTGAGACGACTTGTCTCATTTTGGGGTAATATGGCAGGTACACAGACACCAGTGTGAATTGCATTCCGCTCTAGAATCCAGCTGTCCTCAAATTCATGGCATGCCTGGACAGAGGTTTCCAACAGCTGGCTGGGGCTCCAGGCCCCCTGGAGGGGGAGAGGGAGAGGGAACTGGGGGTGGGGAGACCCAGGGGAATGAGCAGAGGAACAAGTCAGTGCACCCCTGGACACAAGTAGCTACTCTCAGTGTCCCAGCCTCCCTCCTGCCCTAAGGGTAGTGGTGTAACACGCAGCACAGGCCGGAAGAGAGAGTAAATTCCCTCCCCCCATTTCAGAGAGAGATTGCTAGAGGGATAAATCATGTCAGTGATATTTCCTTCAAGATATTAAATTGTTGCAATGTACAACAAATTGAATGATGGAAGATAGGATGTCTTAATGAGGTTTCGCTTTCAATGAGTGTTGATTTTCTACGTATTTTAAAATTTCTTTTATGGGTGGGTGGGGGAAGGAAGGAACTTGGAAGAAAGAAGGGGCTTCTGGGGCACCATGTGCTGCAGCCCCCTAGCAAGGATGCCTGGGTTTCCCTGAGCCTCTCCTAAACCACGTCTGGAGGGGAGAGGGGCCCCAAAGTTGGGGAGAGACTCCTTGGGGGCCTAAAGGCGGTGGGCACGGGGGTGGGTGACCTGAAGAGCAGAATGTAAGTCTCAGCCCCGGAAAGTTAAGTGTTTTATTACGTCCCTAAACAGAGGACAGAGACTGAAAGGTCTCGCCGATTTATAATGAACAGAAACCAGCTGCTGGGGGAGAAAGGCAGAAATGCTGGCGGGGGGAGAGAAAGAGAAGCAGAAATACAAATAAATTCCCCCACAGCATAAGGATTTTTGGTAAAATTAATTTCCAACACACTCTCCCCCGTCACCTTCCGTTCCTGAGGAAAGAAGCGCCTTCCTTCAGTTAGATCTTTAATTATGCAGCTGAAATTTGCTGGAAGGATTCGCTCTAAGGGGGGAGAGCTGGTCAGATGAGCCCAATCTTCCCTCCATTGGATTATATTTTCCTTTTCTCATTTCATGTTAATTTTATTTTTTTGGCGAAAGAATGACTGTCTATAGGGGAAAAGCTGGGACTTGGGTTTTTCTAAATATATTTCTATTTTCCTGTTAAATTTGTCTGAAAACAATTATGGGAACTCATCAGCAGAAGCAAGAACAGATGTTTTATGAAAACTGCAGTTGAGCTCTGTAAATATGCACAAGTCCTGGGAAGGGGGGGAGAACTTGTTCTTTGTTTCTATAAAACAAGCCCAGAGAAATCAGAGTACACCCCATCAGGCCCGCAGGTCTCCGAGTGGCTCTGCCCCTTCAGCCTGCCTCCGGCATCGGGCATTCCGAGGGGGTTTGGCTGTGCGAGAGCAGATTTTTGCTTTCAGAGCTGTAATTAGTGGATTCAAAGACAGAATGCAAAAAACACAGAAAAGGAATAAAGGGAGGAAAGTTGCTGCTCCCTGCTCCAGTCCCCCCAACCCAAAACACATGCTTTTCATGAGCGCTAATTATAGGAGAGGAACTTACTGCAGGCACTATGGGCCTGAGTGGGGGCCAGTCACTGGCCTGGAGTCCCCAAGGCTAAGGGTTGCACTGGAGGGTGGGCACTGGGGGGTTTCCCAGGGCGAGTCAAGCGCTCCTACGCCAGCTTTGCCCGCTCCAGGCCAGGGGCTGTGGCCTGGGCAGCTCTGAACTGGGGATAGGGTGGGTGGGACGAGACTCTGGCCCTGAAGGGGTTCCTGGGCAGGCCTCACCTTGCCTGCCTTTACTTTCCACTCTGCTCTGGAAAACATATTAGTTTCTTGGGGAAGGGTATCTGAAGTGAGAGGGATAAGATTTGGAATTTTTATTTGGGGACAGTCTTTTTTAGAGCTTCTGCTTAGTTTGTGCTCTTCCAGTCTTCTCTCCCCAGGTCCCCCAACTCTGTGCAGATGTCTGTGACTTGCCCAGCCTCACACACAGATACACACACTCTATTGCTGGCTGCCGGCGCCACCAACTACAGCTCGGCGCCTCTGGAGGCTGGTCAGGGACCCCGGAACTGGAGCCGCAGGACTCAGCAGCGCTTGGCTTGGGCGCTTGGCTGCCTGGAAGCCACTGCAGCTCCCCGACTCACCCTCCAATTCTCTATTTCCAGAGTGAGAGGGGAGCAGTTGCCCCACCAGCCCCTTTTGTGCCACTGGGTGAGGGCTGAAATCCCTCTTGCAGAGAAAGCCGAGTTTCAATAATTGCTCAGCTCAGCTCACCTCACAATTGCACTGTTTGGTTAAGGCTTTGCTGCTCTAGAGCAACGGCTCAGTTGCCCTGACTGGCTTATGATTAGATTTTTTAATTTAAAAATTACAAAAATGAATCCTGCTTCAAATGCCTAGTGTTTTGTGTCCGAGCTCCTTTGATCTCCAGAGAATGTGGAGTAAAAGGACTGCAGAGAGAGTCTCCCAGACCGCCAGAGAACCTGGCCACGGGGAGCTGGGTCTGCCTGGGGACACCAAAGCACAGCTCCCCCAAGGAGCCCCCAGTTTCTCACAGATATGGTGGGGAAGTTGTCTGAGCACATACCCCCCCCCCCACACACACACACATTGCATTCCAAAAAAGAACGCTCCTCTCCTTTCAAAGTTCAGGCATGGAGACACTTGGATAAAAGTGAAATTTGACACACCTAACCCGGAAATGAATCCCATTTGGGGGTGCTGATATTCTGGGGACAGGGCCCAGGCTGGTCAGCTGAATGGAGTTGGGGATCAGCAGGGAGGGGGGAAGGAGGAAGAGGCCAGATGGGGCATGTCAAGCGCCTGAGAACTGCCCCAAACACCTCCAAGGCCTGGGCTGGCGACTCCTCTTTTGAGCTAAGAGGTTGAGATGCTGCCAGAGCTGCTTTTGCTTTATTTGCAATTAAACAGAGAAGAAAAGTAGATGGAGGGGCTCAGCTAACTCTTGTCATATTTTCTCTCCTCCTTCTCTCTCTCCTTCCAGATTTCTGCCTGACCCTTCCTTACCAACACGCCACGTAATGCTGCTACCATCAGCGGACACAGACTCCCACATCTGCGTTTGTTTGGCTTCTCAATTCACTTCTCTGGCTGAAGAGTCAAAGTAAAATAGGTCCCAAGCACCTCTGTCCCAGCCCTGAGCCCCTTGTGGCTCCCTCTGGAAGAAATCATTTCTGGCTTTTTGGGGCCTTGCCCCCAGGCCTCCTACCTCTATCCAAAGCAGCTGAGTATCAACTGAGGAGGGGGCATGCAGAGAACCTTCAGACACAGTATCTCAGCCCATGGGGAATGAGGAGGGAACCCAGATGCTGAGTGACATTTCAGAGAGGCAAACCAAGTGCCCCTCCTTGGCCGAGGAGAAAAAATTAAAATCCAGAATATTCAGAATGTTTTTGGTCTCCAGAATGAGGCCTCAAGAGGGTGTCAGATGAGGAAGGAGGGGCAGTAGTGAGTGTGCTGCCCTGGGCTGGGCCAAAGGATACCCAGCTTCCTGGCTTCTCTTATGCCCCTGCACACAGAGCACTTCTTGGACCCATTTTGGAGGTTTATGAGAATTGTAAAATTCAAGAACATGGCATTTATGACGTCACAGTGAATTGTCATGAGGAAACTGTAAGTGTCACAAAAGTTATATACAGCAGGAGTTTTGTGCGTGGGTGCCCTGCCTCCCCTCACTTTTTTTCCTCTTCCCCTTCTCCTGGTCTAAGTTCTCCCACTTGAAAATAAAATTGTTATTATGTTCTGGAACAGTAAGCCAACAATGAAACATCGTCCTCATTTCCCTATAAATAATTTTATCCTTTATTGTTTGCAGATCTAAAAGAACCATTTCATCTGCGCTGGTGAAAAAAGGGAGAGAGATGGGGAGGGGGGAATTAATTTCAGAAACGAGAATATTACTTATTTCGATGATACTCTTTTAGATTTGATAGCCAGGAGCAAAATTAGAGGCGAACACCAGCCTCTCCGACTCTACACCTGGCGGGACTGCAGATTTATAGGATCTTTAGCGAAGGGGCAATTTAATTTTGTAGGATTTGCTTAAATTCACTGCTATTTTGGGGGGCTGAGGAGAAGGGAGGGTGAGGGGAGAGCGACATGCTTTATCTAGCTTCATGAATCCACCAACATTACCCTGATTTAAACCCAACAACCTGTGTCTCAGGGAAAACTCCTGCAGAAAGGAGTGGGGAGTGGGGTGAGGGGGCTCGACTTTCTCAATGACTGAGGCCCCCTTAACCAAGCAGTTGCCGGGCGGAAGGAAGAAAAGCCGGAGGCAAGGGGAGGGCTGTTCTGTCTCTCCACCACCAGGACACCCGGAGGTTTATGGTGTCCCCATAATTCCCCCAACCCTATAAACAGCTGCCCTATTTTAGGCGATTTCTGCTTCCTCCGCTCGGAAAGGGACAACGAGGGCGGAGGTAATGGCGGGAGCGGGGTGCCGGAAAGGGGAGGGAGTTCGGGATAGCGCTGCACTTTGTTCTCCGGGGTGAGTTTGCTGGTTTGGCGGGTTTCTGACGCAGGGTGGCAGCAGACAAAACAAGTAAACAACTCATAGACACAATAAACAGGGGCGGCTGCGGGGCCGTGGCAGAGGCCGTGGGCTGGGTGAGGGGCGCAATTTGGGGGTAATGTCACGCTAGCACCTCGGGGTGGCTGAGGCCCAAAAGCCGGAGGCTTGATGCTGGCAGGGAAAAGGTGGAAGAAAGCTGTGCGCCTCAGCACCGCAGCATGTCCGGACAGGAGAGTCCTGGGAGGAACCGGATCGCCTAGGGAGTGGAGGAAAACCCGCCAGCTCCTCCTGTCCTTTCTTTCATGGGGTTTTTCACAGACATTTATATCTCCCCCTGCTCTGTCTTTCCCTGGCCCCAGAAGGGAGAAAGGCTAGAAAAGGACGCTGGTTAATTCCCAGCCTCAGCCCACATTCAGTGCTCCAGGCCCACAGGCGGCTAGACCGAGCGTCTTCTCTGGCACTGCCCGTCAGCCTTCTCCCTGGCTTAGGTAGCTGAGAGGATTAAAATGCAGTCCCACCAGTAACCAGATCTGAGTGTTTGGAGAATTTAGCCCCCAAACTGCCTCACAAATGCAGGCAAATCTGGGGTCCAGTGAGCAGCCAGGACGAGCATTGGTGGGGGACAGATGTTCACTGCACCCCTACCCATTCTGGCTGGCCTTCTCCACCAGCCCCTTCAAGCACCCTGTCAGGCAGCAGCCCCAGATCACTGCCCAGAGGCCACCTTATTGACCAATTCCCTCCACGCCCCTGGTGTTACGGCACCAGGGCCCAACCGACCGCTCAGAATTGCTCATAGGCCGACTGCACCCATCAAAGTTTCCCACAGAGATCACTTTCAACACAACTGGATCCCCCTGGTAAAACAGTCTCTGAGTTGGGGAAGTTCGCAGGGAGGTATAGAGAGAACCTAGAGGGGATTCAGTATTTTCCCAGCCCAGCTGCTTGGACTGCAAAGGCAATAAGGTCTGAGAAAGGCTTTGTGGCATCCGTTGGTTACTGGAACCCGCATACTCCGATTCCAGCACGCGCACACATTTCCAGCAGAGCACGCACAGAAGGCCTTCTTGGTGCACCCAGTGCCTCCTTGAGCCCACTCGCATCCAGTGAGGGCTAACAAAATTTTGCATGCACATAAAACGGTGTTCGAGCGAATAAAGGCATGGTAACACACAACTAACTACCGGGGAAATATGAGTCTGTATATATTCATGCATAAGTCCGAGTCTGTACATTTGAGCCTGTATATAATAAATGTATTAAGCTACCAAGCCTGGTTTTGGAACACAACAGGCAACCCAACAAGACCGCCTTCTCCAAACAAGGTCGAATTCTTCCTGGGGATCACAACTGTCAGACAAGAGAGAGAAAGGGCTTGCTTTGCCAATTTCTCCTTAACCAGGAACTGGCACATGAAATACAGCTGATGGCTAGGTTGACAAAGCCCATAAGGGGCAGGCCTGAGGTGCTCAAAGAGTGGACTCAGAGGGGAACTCTGGGGGCCAGAGGCTCCAGGGAGTGTTGCCAGACCCTGACCCACAGATTCAGTGCCTCCTAGCCTCAGCCCTGGGTGTGCAGAGTCCTTGAGCCAGATTCTATTCTCAGCCGCTCTGGCTATTATTAGATAATCACAGCAGTGCCCTCCTGCACGAAGGACCACGTCAGCAGGGAGCTTGGCCTGCAAGGAGGCTGGGGGTTGCCACTGACGGCCCCTCTTGTGCTTCTGTTTGAGCCCAGAGAGGGAGAGAAAGACGGGAAAGAAAATCGAAAGTAAGGAGGGAAGGAGGAGGCTGGCGGCTGGGGCCAGGTTTATTCCCGGCCAGACTAGAAAACTGGAAACCGAGGCCGGTCACTGCTGCTATGCTCTCTGCATCTCTCAGTCTACGAGGAGCAGTGTAGGGGTGAAGGGTGTGGGGGTCTGCAGGACCCTAGCCAGGAAGGGATAGAAAATCAATTGATAAAAATATTATATAAGGACATCTCAGGATGGTTCTGTTAACCCGTCCACCACGAACCCCAGCACCCTGAAATCTCACCAACAGCGCATTCGGTTAGATCCCCGTAGGCCGAGAGAAACACCCCAGCCTAGCCGGGCCCACCTCTCCGAAGGGAGGGGGCCCCTCCGATGTCCCAGGTGAATCCCCACTGGCCTTCTCCGGAGACTGTTTTCCTGGGGGCAAACAAAGGAGACTCTCGTGCCCCCCCCCCCCCAAGTCAGTGCAGCCATCTGCAGGGGCGAGGGCAGCCAGCGGGGGCAAACAAAATACAACAGGCGAAAGACAGAAATAGAGGCCTCACCGGTCGGCGGTTCCCACATTACGCCAGGAGAAAGGCTCCTATTTTCAGGCCTCCGGGGCCCCTCCACCGGCCCACCGGATGCCCCTGGCCCTTCGCAGGCCGGGCTCGGCGGCCGCGGCCGGGATCCCCGGGGCGTCAGCGCCTGGGCCGCGCGGAGCGGCGGGCGAGCGCGAGGCAGCCGGAGCCGCGGCGGGCTGGGCCCATTTGGGGAGAGCCAAGCGCTTTTCTCGATCGTAAACAAGGAAAGCGAAATTAGCCCCTCGGCAGACGCCTCTGCCGACACACCAGTCCTAGTTGGGGGGGGGGGAGGGGGAGAGAAAATGCCATTTCTTCCCCCGGGAGAATACCTCAGAGGCCTTTATGTCGGCTGCGAAAGGGGAATTTTGGGGGGGGCAGGAGAGGATGCGACGGGGGTTGTAGGGGGAGGGGAGGGAAGATTCACCGTGTACTCGGGCTCAAGGGGTGTGATTTGAATGCAGTCGAACTATATTTTTAAGAATTTGATAAAAACAGGTCCCCCCCCCACGCCCCCAGGAGACGGGTCAGGGTTTAAACAGGAAATCAAGGAGCGATCCCCTCCCCCACTCGGGCTTGGAGGAGAAGCCCAGTCGCGCTGGTGGGAGAGGATGGGGCGGGGGGGGGGGGGGGGGGGGGGGGGGGGGGGTGGCTCTGGGCTCGGATTGAAGGTGAGTCTGGCCCCCAGACTCTCAGGCCTTTCCAGGAATATGCGCTCCGCCCCCCACCCCGGCTCTGGGGTGTGTCTACCTGGGTGTGTAAGCGCTTGTGTGTGCGTTGCCCTTTATAAACAGCAGCTCACACGTATGGGGCCGCCTCGGACCCAGGCCAGGGAGCAGGGCGGGGTCATATATCAAACTGCAACACATTCAGGGCCACGTACATTTGGAAGAAATTAAGCCACTGTGTTATGAAACCATATGTGTCGGGTTAAGACTATACAACACGCCATTAGCACCAATTATTAGGAAGATCTCGAGCTCCCAGGACCCTCCGGGCCGCCTAATTCTGATGTCCCTACCCCAGGAGCCAGCCGCGCCTTAAGTCTTCACTGCCTCCACTCACGCAGGAGGCCTCGCCAGCGAGGCCTGGGCCTGTCTCCACCCAGCCTGGGGCCTCCCCAATTCCCACCTCCGCCCCAGACACAGCAGATTCTAGCCCAGAGCAGCCAGGCGAGGCGGGTGAAGCAGCCCAGTGGGTATCCTGGGTGGCGTGGCTGCGGTTGGAGGTGGGGACACCGGGCCAGGGGAGAGACAGCGACTGGCCCCTTTCCTCAAGCACAAGCTGGCTTTTGAGTACCGCGTCCCCCACCCCCACTCTCACCCCCACTCATCCACCGGCAGTGCAGCGCACCTCCCATCTTCCCATCCGCTCGAGTGGGGGCGGGAGCCGGGGGTGGGCAGACGCTCTCCCCTCAGCTGACGGGCACCAGCCACCAGCCTCCCCCCTAATTGCCAATTAACAGGCCCCGCCGCCCGCCTAGCTGCGCTCTCTTCCTGCTCCGCGGCCCGGCCCTGGGCTGGCACTGCGCATGTGTGAGCTCTAGCAGTCGCGCAGTCCGCGAGGGAGTGGGCTGCGGAGCAGGGAGGGGGCGCTGGAAAGTTTGTTTGGGGGTTGGGGGGCTGACTTTGCTCAAGGGGCAATGGTTATAGCCTACAGGTTCTCTCTCTCCTGCCCTGCAGTTTGAGCTTCAGGGCCTCCTCGATCCCAGTCCCATTAGCCAAGAGGCCGCAGATCTATAACAGGTAAGGACACGGTGGGCGTCAGGCAGCGGATCAGCGCACTGGACCCCGGCCTCGAGCCCCACAGGCGCAGTCCTCTTGCCCGCCAACCCCCAACTTCGGCGTACAGTGACATCAGGAAAACACACTTCCCCCACTACCATATTCCAGTTTAACCCAATTTCGCCCCCCCACCCACTTTTCCTCCCCATAATTGCCCACGCGCCCACCCTCTCGCCAGCCCCCTCTCCTCTCTAACCAAGACAAGCCGCTGCTGTTCTTATCTTGAAACCGCCACCCAGCTACGGACCATTAGTTACATATTTGAACCAATAAGGAAACACTTACCGGGCGCTGCTGTCACTCGCCCTCTCCCTCTCTCTCTGCCTCTCTCTCTCCCACTCTCTCTCTTTCTCGTCTTCCCTCATTCTGTGCCGCTGCCGAGCCTGTCTCAGCTCCACACACATACATATACTTTAGATAAATTTAAAAATAAAAAAGAATAGTCCCAATAATCAAAAAGCCAAACAAAATTAAGGGGAGTTGCAAGAAGGGGGCAGGAGGGAAAGCCTGGGAGAGGTGAGGGGCGGAGGCATCTGCGGCTCCCTATCGCAACTCCTGCTCCCTCTGTCCTCCTGCCCCTTGGGGGGCTCAAGGGTTGGGAAGGGAGAGAGAGGTGCCCTCAACTCCTGCCTCTCCCCGCCTCCCCCCTCCCCAGGTGGCCCCCAGCTTCCGGCAACTCCACCTGGGAGGAAAAAAATTAAATAGGGGAAGAAAATAATTATTAATCTGATTAATTAAAAAAAAATACTGGGAATGAAGGGAGCGCCCAGCGCAGGTTTCCCTGGCAATGGTTAGGCTCTTACAGGGAGGACTGTTCTGCGGAGCGCTCCGAACGGACAAACCACAATAAAAAGTTCACGTTCATGGATGGAATCCACATGACTTCTTGTGGCCAATCCAACTTGTGAGTCGATCGTAAACTTTTATTACTCAGCTGTAAATTTTCTGCAAACAACCGGGAATGCGATGCATTTGTGTAGCGTGTGCAAATGGGCGCCGCGGTCGCCATGTTTACCCAATTCTCTCGAAAAGGGAGCATCCCCCGACCCCCACCCCACCCCCACCCACCGCCCACTCCCCACGGGGCCGGACAGCTCCAGGCTAGCGCGGAAAGGGCAAAGGGAGGACGCGAGAAGAGAGAAGGAAGGATTCTGGCGCTGAGTCGGCTGCCTCCCTTTGCCATGCCGAATTTTAAATATTTTCCTTAATAAATGGGGTATTAAGGTTGGATCTGGGGGAACGAAGCATTGCAAAGGTTTGTGACATTGGGGCAGTGACGGCTGGCGGGGTGGAGGGACTGAGAAGGGGTGCGCTTCCTACCCCTACCTATTTTTCTGGGAAGAGAACATCTTTCCCAATGGGGTGCCCCCAGCAGCCCCCCACTCCACCCCAGACAGAACGGGAGGGGCAGGCCGCTGGAAGCCTCAAGCAAGCTGACCTGGCCGTGGTCTGAAGAGCAGAGAGCGCTTGCCCCGGCCCTGGGCAGTGCTGCGGAGGGAGCAGGATGGGTGGGACTAGAGAGCAGGCTCCAGAACCCTCGAAGCGCCCTAGCTCCTTTCTCAGAGAAAATGACACTTTCCCCCAAGACCATCCCTAGTGTCAGCTCTCCTCAACTGCTAGGTTCAAATGGCAGCTGGCTCCCAATCTTTTTAGAATTGAAAATAAACTTAAAGGTCAGGATCTTGGTTCCCATTTCTTTTTCTTTTAGGTGCAAGGCGCCTTGAAGCCTTTTCTGTCTTGTCAGGTGGCCCACACCCGCCTGCCTTTTTCAGAAAAATTCCAGTGTCCTGGCAGCTGGGACACACCCTGGAGGCCCTGAAAAAAGAACATTATCCCTCCCTAAAGCCCTCCTTCCGTGCTGAGTTCCGAGTCCCTGAGGCGCCCCCCTCCTTTCTCCAGACCCCTAATTTTAGTGATGAGTCCAGTGTGGGGAAAACCAGAATAGGTTCCCTCATAGAGACTCTTTGCCAACCAGTCGAAGCTCAGGTACTCTCCCCGCCAACTGGAGATGTGAAGGGCCAAAACTCTCCCCTAAGTCCCACACAGAGCTGGCATGGGGTCTTCCATGCTTGGGTACCCCACCCCAACCAACAGGGGGTCCCTCATCCCCTCCCCAGACTTCCTCCACAGTAAGCAAAGCAGCTCTCTCAGCCGGATGCAGGGACCTCGTTTCTTTTACAAACCCACCCATAAATTTTATAACAGGTAGTTAAAAATTACGACAAGGAAACGCTGGCCCAGCTTTTCACAATGGGCCTCGGGGAGAATGGGACAGCGCTGCAGGCAGCTCACCGGAAATTTTACTTCTAGTCTGTGGCACAACCTGTCCGGAGTTCGCTCTAATTGGGGTGGGGTAACTTTCTCCAGCATCATGAAGCCCTGGGGCATCTCATTTGGGGAAGGTGAGGCTGGGGACGCCAATCCACTCTCCCATCCTAGGGTCCCCCCAAGGAGCCCTTTAGGGCTCTCACTACCTCCTCCACCCCCGGAGCCCCCGCAGGCCCGCTCCTCCCTTGGCCTCTGCAATGACGTGGGGAGGGAGAGAAGACGCCGAGGATTAAAAAAAAAAATCCAGGAAACGAATTTGCCCCCCAACTTAATAGCTGCATTATCCCGTCTCTACGGTTGAGATTAGAATAATAAATTCAAGGCGAAATGAGCGAGATGCTTCAACTCAGCATTTTGAAAGATACTATTTTTCACAAATCACAAATAGCTTTCGGAAGCCCCTTTGATTGGCTAATAAAAAAGTAAAGAATGAGAGAAAGTCCTATCTGCCGCAGCCGAATGGTCCCCATTCCGCTAATGGGACGGCAGGAGCATTTGGGAGGACGCGTTTCTGAAGGCAGCGCATCCCGCTCGCAATTAAGTTCCCCCATAAAACGAGTTTTACCTCCTTTTCTCTCCAAACGAGAAAACAGAGGCGGTGGGCAGAAGGGGTGGGGGAGCGGGTGCTGCAAGAAGGGGCGGCTGGAGCTCCCTTGCTCTGGCCCACCCGATGCTGCCTCGCATCTCAAGCCATGCAGGGCGCCAGACGCACCCCGCCCTCCGACGCCGGGCTTGGGGCCACGGGCATTGCTGAGCAGGGCCAGGGATGAAGGGCACATTTGATGTGGGGAAAATTTAGCGAGGTCCT